GCCAGCTTGAGTGCACACAGTCATTTAAGGTAAAAAGGGCACAAAATACTAAGAAAGGTATCTAAATATTGCAAAGAATGTACTTTTCACTCAAATTGTTAAAGTCTGAATAGCCGGGTCCAAGGAATGCCACTTTCCTGCTACTGCAGTTTCCTTCCTACTAATCTTAGTGAACAATTCTGTTTTCTGAGAGAGTTAAACCTCTTTGAAAAAAAATAAATTGAACACAGAATATAAAATGTACAAAAACGTTTGCACAGGCTGCATATTACATATTATTTTTTTCATGAATGTTAAATTCCGCTTTTGTTTATTAAAATGTGGTGTTCTATGCAGAGGATGTGTGCCTTATTTTTCTTGGAATATCAGCAAAACGTAATCTGACCAGGGGTGCCCCAACCATAACTGATGTGTTATGAAACAATGTTGCAATAAATTGGAAAGGAAGGCAAAATACAAGCATTTTCAGCATCTGAGCTGGACCCCACTGTACATGCAAACCTTGTGAAAACTAATGTTACTGAATTATGGAAAGCAATAAATACATCCCGATGAAGTTTATTTTGTTCTCTAATACAAAATCAAAGAAATGCACTGCTGTTTAAATGGGGAAAAAAACTCAGAAATTTCTTCAGGGTCAAATTTGAGCAAACAAGACATTAATCGCAATTAACTATGCAAAATTCTGTGAACAATTGTCATTAAATAGTTGAACTATTTCACAGCCATAAAACAAACAAATCTACAATTTAAATTTCAGTAAATGGTTATTCACCTTCCAATGAAGATAATACAAAATGTATGACACACATTGTGGCATAAAAATGAGATATTACAGCATACCGTCATAAAAAGAAGCAAAATACAGCTGCAGCTGTATGTCTGTTTCAGTGAATGTAAAACGTTTCTGGACTTGTGATTGGTTTGCAGCTCCTTGCACATGCTCCCACTGTCCTCAGCGCATAAGTAAGAGATGATGTAATGTAGTCACTGTTGCAAAATAATCCCTGGAAGGGTGGTTACAAGACCCCAGCACAACAAGAAGTGCTCACTGTACATAATCGGATTTATTCCACTGCTACTTGATAAACAGTTTAATCACTGCCCACAAATGTCCCTTTCATTTATTTTTACAGATTAGTAGTTTCCGCAGGAGACAATAGAACAGTTTTTATCACCACAGGCAAGTTTTATAATGCCTACAAGCATTTTCTGTGTATGCACATTAACACAAACCCCCTGCATAACAGATTTTAGTTGTTGCTCACTATTAGCTGGTCTTGCTAACTCCTGACAGGTTTATCCACTAAGGATGTCCCCTCTCCCTTCGATTCCACACCCTCCACTCAAACCTCTCCTCAAAGCTCCCCATGCACACGTGCAGTAATAGATAGTCGGCGTGGGGGGTGAACATCATGATCCAGAAAGTGCTGGTGTGGCTACAGGATTTAGTTTCACTCAGTGAAGAAACTTAGCAGCTTAGCTTACACAACTAAACTGTAAAATTAGCCGAGTGTACAAGTGCTTGGTCAGCTAAAAAGTCTGTACTCACAGCAGTGCTGAGCTATATTCAGGTGAAAGACCCTCACAGTGACATCTAAAAGTAGCTAGCTACTTTTTTTTAGCTAACCTAGCTAGAGATACAAGGAGACCTGGCTACAGTACAACCACACAGTTATGCTAGCTAGGGTTAAAACACTGTGTACATTAAGATGTTACAGTTTAAGGGGACAACTTTTCTTTTAGGGTGATACATTATTAGATACTAAAGGAAAATTAGCAGAAGCTCAACATTCATTTCTACAGATCTTGTCTTTGCCCTCAAAGTCCTTTCCATGCACTTTGTTAGTCTGTTTTGTAGCGTTAGCTGTGGATCTGGAACATTTGGTCGAAACTTTGATGATAATAATAAAATAGTGGTAAAACAAAGGACTCTTTGACGGCGCCTGCCATGACTGGATTGGCATTTTAGGCCGAAATCTTGTGTCAAAACAACATCTCAGGCTTCAGGCAGTGCATTTTTAACCTCTTCATGTATTAACTTTCTGTGATGTAGGTTCACATTACACACCTCACATATCTGATCCTTATCACCACTGTAAACAGTTCTGACCTGTTAATGTTCTCTAAAATAGTGTGTTTCACATCAAAACACTCCAAACGACTTTGTTTACATCTTAACCATTGAATTATGCCAAAATTTGGAAAAAATTCCCCATTACTAACTGACGCACTGGCTTGAACTTTTGCTTCTATGACTTACACAAAGGCTCAGTTTGTAGCAAGTTCAAGCCAGCTTACCCACCTTTATGTAACCAAATAGTGTTGCCAGTGTTGCCCACTACAATCAATTCAATCAGGATTTGGTTGGTTTAGTAGAAAGACCCCCTGGGCCTGTCACAGTACACAAACATATATTCAATGCAAACACAAAAAAAGGACAAAATTGTACATGACTAAATAGGAAAAACCCAGTGAAAGTAAAAAAAATAAAAGATAAAATATTGATATTAACAAAGCTGTTTTTATTTGGAAAGGCCTAAGGCTGGTAAGGTTAAAGTTACAGAGTTAGGGTTAGAAATTCTTTATTACATATAGATATTTACATATCATCACTATCGTGATAAAACACTCCATCTCCACAATGGTAAAGGAAAAAGTGTTCTTAATTCTGAATTGAAGTTAATGGAACAGTATTTTTGGACATTTCTATTGCTCAGTTGATCATAAAATACTGTAAAGACCAATTGGCACAAAAACAAGATAAAAAATTGCGATACAAGGTTTTGTTCCAATAGCAAGGATATGTATAACACATTTGGGATGTATGCATAACCCCATGTCCTGGCAAGGTATAAAAACAAAAGTGTGTGTGTGTGTGTGTGTGAGAAAGGAAGGAAACACTCGATGACAAATCTCTTAGAGACGAGTCCTGCATGAGAGCGTAGCTCGGTGGCATGCCAAACATTCGTCTTGATTGTTCTTCCTGGTTGTGGCCCGGTTGGCGTGAGTCGCAGCTCAGATAAGTATCTATTATTTTTTGTCCGGTGAGCGCGGGGCAGGGACGGAGCTGGCATTGTACTGTTTTCAGCGCCGGCAACACTTACTAGAGAGAGGAATGCAGTTCTGAAGACGCTCAGCACCCAACATCAGGGCTACCACCATGAACCATATCATAAGCTCCATCAAAATGGCACAAACAAGTGACTAACCAACAGAATCGACAAGAACAAAGACAGCATGTGTCGTGTTGAAGTCAATAGAATAAAGTGCTGAACACAAGTGTACCTTTATCTAACAGGACATACAGCAAAGAGTCTGAAAGCATTGCTTCATGTTTACTTTTATGCTGTTTATCACAAAAGAGAATGATTTAGCTGGCCAAATGAAAGGCAGACAGAAAAGGAAGAATAAAAAAGAAAATGAAAGCCATGTTTGTTATCGCGATATAGCTTTTTGCATGTACACTATTGTTTAAAAAAAGCTTGGAATTCCCCATCATTTAACAACTTCACATACAATAATAACTTGTGCAGTGTGGAATTAAATATAACACTGTTTAACAAAAAAGTATTTTTAGGTATTTTATTGAACATTTCAAAAATTCTGTAAACAAGCAGTGATTAAAAATAAATAATATACATAATGTTTGCATTATTTGTAAATATAAATATATTGTAATATTTTTGTCAAGTTAGCTGCCTTGAGATTTGATCTCCTTTTCTGAAATGAGATCAATTCTGGATATGATTTTTTTTAATAACTTAAATGTTAAACAGCTTTCAGGACTCACATATTAGAATCATTTCATGTGCTCGTCTGCAATCAAAGAGGTTTTATATTACTGAAATCACTGATACGTTCTTGCACAGTAATGTATGCATGCTACTTATTCTATTTACCTTCCTCTTCTTCTTATTGTCATTATTATTATGGTCATTATTATTAGTTACTCATTTATTTTTTGTACTCATATACTCAGACATTAATAACCAAAAAGAATCTTTACTTTAAGAAAGAAAATGTGTCTACAAGTGAACATGCATGTGTTCTGAAGAATAAGTGGAGCAGAGAATACAAGTACAGTTGTATGCAAAAGTTAAATGACATGATTTGTTGATTTCCTAAGTGAAAATAAGTGAACACATCCTCTACACATTTTAATGCACAATTTCTGTTTATTTGCTAAATTTAACATATTGGAGGTAAAAAATAAAACATAAAGTGTGGCCTGTGCAAAAATTATGGCACATTTTTATACTTTTTCTAGTATCTTGGATGGAAAGTGTGTATTAAAAATAGCAGAAAAATGCAATATTTAATCCTGTAGAGGATTTTCTCTCAGAAAACCAACAAAACATATTCTACCAGGGGTGATCAGAAAAGGCATTAAGCAAGTAAGATCAGTTTATCTTCTTTTGTCTAACAGATCTTTATAACCAGTTGCATAACCATGATGAGGAGCAAACAGCTACCAGCAGACAGCTGTGAACGGGTCAGTGCAGTTTTGTCTGCTGTTTGGTGGCAGGCGGCCTGTGTTGTCGCTGATATCCCCAGATAAAGAACATCGAAAAAAAAAAACTAAACTAGTTTAAGCACATCTTAAAAAGACACTTTTTTCAAGCTTAAAAGAACTGTGGGTTGCCAGCGAAACAACTGATATACTGTGCTGCGCAAACTTTAAAGTCAAGATTTTCACAATCTTTCTTTAAAAAACAAACCAAGAGTTAGTGAAGTGCTCGGCCCTCAGTACAACAGCAGCAAAATAAACAGCAACCCGCCAGACTGTTTTCACTGTGCATGTGTGCATTTGTGCCGTGGAAGTAATACCCAGAGACACACTTCACAACTCAACCCCACCAACCCCTCCCCAAGCAAACTCCAGCACGCTGAAGGCTACTTGCACAGAGAAGGAGACACAGAGACAGAGAGAGAGAGAGAGAGAGAGAGAGAGAGAGAGAGAGGGGAGAGAGAGAGAGAGAGAGAGAGAGAGAGGTGGGAGGGAATAACAGCATATGAGAGAGAGAGGGAGGGTGCAGTGCAACAGTTCACTCGTCTGCTCGTTGAGTGTCACTGCTCTTTGAGCTCTGGCACTATAGGCAACTTCACTTTATCCTCAACGCACCAACGACCCTCCAAAACATCCCACTGAGACGGACTACTTCAACAGGACGAGCACTTATCCACATTTCTCCTTGTCAGCTGAAGACCGCTTTATTTAGAAAAACTTCCTCTCCACTGGCTCTAAAGGACTAATTTCAATCAAACCAAAAATAATAACCACATCAACGACTTGTTTTCTGCAAGTCAACAGCTGCATGGATACTTTTGCTCCAAACCTGTGGTCACTGTAGGAAATATCCATGGCACGAGTTGCTGGAGAGGCATGTTCTTCGGGATGAATGATGGAGGTAAAAGGGAATCACTGATGGTGTTTTCCAAGGTTCGGACGCACAGCACCAAGTTCAAGTATGTCTGCACTGAATCGAGACTCGTGCTAAAGTAACTCAACTCATGACCTTCTGACAGATAGAAACAGCCTCTGTCTGTTCTAAGTTACTCAAACATTTGAGGCAGCAATGCATATCAGGAATGTCATGTTTCTCCTCGCCAGGGCTTGTTTAGCGTCTCAACCCTGAGAGTCATTTTTTAGATTTTACACTCTTTTTTAACCAGCGTAAAAAGCCTGTTCCAAACATGAACAACGACAGCATCAACGTCACGGCTCCATATCACGATGCGTATGGTCCTGTGATGCTGATCGCTGTGGTGCCCATCCTCCTGATGATAATCGTGGGCAACCTGCTGGTCATCATCGCTATAGCACGGAATTCCCAGCTCCAGACTGTGACCAACATCTTCATTATGTCTCTGGCGTGCGCCGACCTCATCATGGGTGTCTTGGTGGTACCCCTCAGCAGCACCATCGTTGTGACTGGCAACTGGCCACTGAGCGAAACATCCTGCAATTTGTGGACATCGGTGGATGTCCACTGTGTGACCGCTAGCATAGACACTCTTTGCGCTATCGCTGTGGACCGCTACATTGCAATTACGAGACCGCTGCGCCACAAGGTTCTCTTGAACAAGTGGCGTGCCCGGCTGATTGTTTGTGTGGTTTGGGTGGTGTCTGCCCTCCTGTCCTTCGTGCCCATCATGACCGGGCTGTGGCAAGCCGAGGATGATGAAGCCCAAAACTGCTATAAGGACACAAAGTGCTGTGACTTTCTTGTCAACAAGACCTACGCCACCATTTCTTCAGTCATTTCGTTCTATATCCCACTGCTCATCATGATCTTTGTCTATGCTAAGGTGTTCCTTATTGCCTCCAAGCAGGTCAAGCTCATAGACAAAAGCAGAATGAGGTTCCAAAATGAATGTGCGGCCGTCCAGGCGCTGCCACCTGCTCACGGCAACAACAACCTGCCATCAACATGTAATAGCAGCAGTGCTCCAACAGGGAAGCGGAAAAATTCCCGCCGCCGACCTTCCAAATTAACTGTCTTGAAGGAACACAAGGCCTTGAAGACCCTCGGCATAATCATGGGCTGCTTCACCCTCTGCTGGCTGCCTTTCTTCATAGCCAACATTATCAGTGTCTTCAATCGGAAAGTTATTAGTCAAAGAATTTTCCTGTTCTTGAACTGGCTGGGTTATTTTAATTCAGGCCTGAACCCCATAATCTACTGCCGAAGTCCAGAATTCCGAACTGCCTTCAAGAGCCTCCTGGGTTGTCCCTGGCTGCAAATGCCAAAGATGAACTCCCTCTATAAGGAGCTTAGGACCCGATGCCCCTGTTTGCTGGGCACTGCAGAGACAGGCATGACTGGATCTTTCCAGAAGGCACCCTCATCTCAAGGGACAAGCCCAGAGCTGGTACCATGGGGAGATGGGGACGAAAGTCTGGGAAGCAGCCAGAGCAGCGACAAGAGCGAGGAGCCATCACCAGGACCACCGTACTCCAACGGCAGCACACACTTCAGTGAATTCTCTGAAACAGGCACAGAGTTGTAAGTGATCCTGACTTTTTTTTTTTTAAGTCATCATTCTGATAACCATGATACAACATTCAAAAGAAGGGCTGCCCTGCATGATCCTTTTCCATTTATCCTCATTTGGTGGGGTTGACTTTCAAAGGGTACATGCAGTTTTGATTATGTCAGTGCTCGGCAAAAGAAAACAGGTTATATAAATTTCAACATGCCCTTAACAAATCGGCGAGTTTTAATGCAACCTCTATCAATCTCTACCTTTTACATAATGTATCCTGATGACTGCAGGGTGCATTTTAAACATGCCTTAATAGAGTACCTATATAACATGATCTGAAGCTATGAATGTGTTTAGGTAAAACCCTGGGGAAAGTGCTCAGTGAGGAGGGCAGTGTAAGGCGAGGAGGAAAGCGGTTTCGGATCACTCTGTGTGATTTGTCTCGCGGACCACTTTGCGCAAAAATGAAACGCTTGTTATGGCATGGCTTGCGGTGGAATGCGAAGACGCTTGCTGAAGTTTGCATAAGGAAAATAACTAGTGGGCCTTAAGCTCATAATCACTCGTATTTATGGCCATGTACTGCACCAAGTGTGGTTGTAGACACATGCTTCTGGGGAAGCCACTTACTACGCTCCGAGGCTGAAGTTTCTCCTTATAATTTCCACTATGAACCATTTATGCATTTAAGTTCTTATACTGAACAGTAACTGGCACCATGGAGGAGTTTTGGTTCTCCTTTAAAACAAATTCTTATAGGTTTAAAAAACATCATTACACAAAATGTCTGATATACCTACTAAGGAACACTTTTCTCAATATAAATCTTACCGTCTTTTAAATGCCGGAGATTGAAAGAGGTGCTAACAGCTTCCCTTGTGTGCTGGATATTTACTGCATTAATGTATTTAAAATGATCATTATTTATTTTAATAAGGTAAGGTCTCACCACTCACTCTTAAGAGACAGAAAGACTCTGTTCCATGCTCTGAAACTTATTCATAAAGTGCGTAATGTGAGTTCTGCACAATCACATCAGTCCTGCTGTGATCAGGGCTGCCTGCCAAAAGATATGAATGAATAAAGAGACTGTAAAACAGACACAATTGGTAAAAACTATAAATGTCAGAGTGGACAGTTATACATTTCCCCTACACAGCTTATTTGTACAGTTTTTAATTTTGTTAAATCATTTATATTAATTGTATTTTGACACTCAGCATTATCACTCATTGTTTTTCCATTCTACCAACTGTCTGACTGATTTTCAGTTATTACTAATTAATTAGCTTCACAGACAAGCAATTGCAGGAATAAGCTTTCCGTTATGGGGAAAAAATCTGAGACAAAAAATGATGCAGGTTGTTATATTATTTTTAATAAAATAGCACAAAAAATTTGACTAAACTTTACACAATACAATGAATGTGTGAATTTGCATACTGCTATATAGAATGATTGCGTGAACATGCATAACGCTTATATAAATACTGCTCGCTTTGGTCCTTGAAGAACGCTAAAAATCTCCATACCAAATGCAGAGCGGCAAAGGAGTTTGCAGAAAGGCTGTTCTTGGAAAGGCAGAATGTAGAATGGCAGAGTAGAGGGTTTAGCACAGCTGTTAAAGAGGGGTGGGCAAGCCCTGGAGACATCGCCTACCCAAAATGAAGCGGAAACAATGTCCAGGCACACGGACACAGGGGCCGGGGGCTGGTGGTGTGTGTGTGTGTGCGTGTTCCTTTTTTGATTTAGAACATATTCTTCCAAAGAAAGAAAATAAACAACATCTTAGTATTTTGATTGAATTAAAGCCCTTCAAATCCAAATCTATTAAAAAAATCTCCTAATAAGATCAGAAATCAAACCATTTATTAGAAAAACTGCAGTTCAACCTTTATTACGAACCTCATAAGCTATTCCAGCTTTCAGCACCCACTAATCCAGCTGTAGGCTTCGGCCTTGTAGACACTCATTTATCATGACGACACGTCTTGCTGGTATCTCGGTAATTGCTCTCAATCGACTTGAATTATTCTAAGATTAATATTTGATACCGTCTTGTGTACCTATATGGTCTCAGGCAATCGTAATTGATGTCAGTAAATCTGAGGAGGAAATGTCAGTGAGCTCCTTGGAAACCACTCTGCAAATTTCCCCTTTTTCATATCCACAAATGGCAAAGCCATTCGTTTCAAAAAAGTTCACAGATTATCTAATCACACTGCTGTGAATATTATGTTACCTGCAATTCATCTGGGGGAACGGCTGATGTCATCACATATCAAAAGCAGATGTTTGTTTTGTGTACAATAAAAGGGTCAATTCACGGTAGATTAGGGCTTAATCCCAGATCCTCTGTGCAAATACAGAAGATATAAACCGAGATTTCACCTGGCAAGTCACTGATGGGTGACACGGTGCAGTGGCCACAATTAGGCAATTAGCGAGTTAACGTTTTGGAGATGAGAAAAAAAGGGGGGTGGAGTGAGGGGGGGGGGTTAACAAAGAATGGAAAAAAGGATCAGCACTGGCTTTGCACTGACTGCTTCAAGTCAGCCTGCGTGATCTGGCGCTGCAGTTTTGGGGCTGAGTTCGCTGGTGTTATTTCGCCCGTTTAGACAAACTAATCGCATTATTCCTTCGCAGTACAGTTCACGAACCCATCAGATGTGAGTGAAATCGAATCAGTGCTAACAATTGTGAGGGGTCCTTCTCGTAAACCCTGTTAAGAAGCCTGTTTACTGCTTAGTGACCCGGCATCTATTGTATTACTGTATTAACCGTTTACTTTATTTGTAACTCATAAATATGCACCTAATCAAAGAGACAAAAGCCCTGTATGCAGCTCATAATCGCACAGGTCAAGAGCACGTTAAGTGCGGCTAAACGAACAGAGACGTCCTTGAGGAAGCGCTGCTGAGGGTGAGTGGGTTGACTGAGTGTTCGGTTCAACCGGAGGCAAACGTTTTGCTAGGTATTCCGCACTACTGATGGGCTCATTTTATGAATGAGGCTGGAGGTGATGGCGAAAGCAAATACATAAACAATATTAATTGCAATGTTACTTAGCGATGGTCAAGAACTCAGTGTGCGTCACTGATAATAGCTCGAGTAGCCATGCTGATTACCAATAAATGGAAGGGCACTTTTGAGAGGCTGTTTATGTACTCTGAGGTGGAAGTGTGATTATTCCAGCACAGACTGAACAAATAAACTGTTCAGGAGTAAAATTAACTTGAGTCGAGGCTGAATATGACCTTTTTATGCTGCTGGCATTGAGCATACAGTGTTTGGGCCTCTGTCTGATAGAAAAACAAACCGATTAGCATGCTAACTCTTAACCTCTCTAAGTGCCTTTAGTGGCATGTGTAAGTAAGAGGTGGTCTCTGCGGTGTTTGAGTTTGTTAGCGCCCCTCCACCAACACTCCCGACAGCTGATAAACTTTATCACCGAGCCACAACGCTTCCGCTTCTGTGGGGAAGCTGTTTACCACCTAAAGAGAGCAGCCAGTCAGCAAACTAAATGCTAACACATCTCTGAGTACTGTTTTAGCAATGAAAGCACAAGCAGTAATGATACTGATTCAGAGATAGCCCACTTTTACATAACATAGGAGGCCATGAATGACTGAAGCTAATCATGTCTTGCACAGCTAGTGTTACTAGCAATATTTGCGACTCAAATTCATTCTAATAGTACAAAAATAAAATGTACAGGGATGTTTTTCATAGCTCCGTGGTACAGTACTCATTTAAGACCCCTGTATGTTTGGGATCAATTTAGACAGGCTCATCAAATCCTAAACCTTAATATAGAACAAGCAGCAACAGGCTACTTGTATTTTTCTCCTTTTCCTACTGTCGTGCTGAGCCCAATAGGGGAAGTGCGGGTCCATCTGTGTTCATATTTTAGACTTTTATATAACACATTTAATCATAAATCTAAATTGCCAAAGACAGCCGGGTGTTACTGTTTATTGCTTCGTGCTTCATGTGTCTAATGTACATGGTCAGCGAACATTCTTGTAAATGCACATTCTATTCTTCCAGCTCATTTACATATTGGACTGAAAGGACTGTTTAGACTGGAGGATGTCCAGCTGTTCCCCTGCTGATGATTGGCCAAGCACAACAAACTATTTTGCCTACCCATGAAAACTGTATGTTAGACGGACAATTCAAAAGCAGATTTTTGGCTTGGGAATGTAATCACTCGAGCTAATCTAGACCAGGAGCAGACAGGGCATGCAATAACAACAGAATTATTTAAATGGGGGACTTTTGCTCTCTCTGTGTTAATCCACAATAGTCCAATGGGTTTAAAGTAATCCACATATACCGTGCCTTTTGGAACAGTAGCCACAAAAAGAAAAAAAAAAAGAAGAGCAAGTGTGTAATAACCATACATAACAAGTAGCAAAATGTCAGTCTATTATGCCACTATGCTTTTTTTATGAATTTGATCTGAACAATTGTCTGATTTTACATTTTTGTTCCCTGAGAAATAGTTTCATTTTCAAAACTCTTATAAACACTCTAACACTCATAGCTTTTTAAATTGGATTTTTATCAATTTTACAGTTTTGCTGGTGCATTTTGACCTATCTGATTGTCTGATCGTACATTTTGTTGCTATCTGCGAAAAGAGCTGTGTCTGCTCTTCAGCCTGACACCTGCATGGCTGCTTTCGTGGAGCCTGACCTGACAAACATGTACTTAATCACTGCAGGAGTGTGTGGGTCAGAACACAAAGAGCTTGACAGGAGGCTTGAACAGAGCCTTATCTTTCTACTGTTTGCTTTCGTTCGCTGTTTCTGCGGTGGGCCATGTTTCCACACAGATCAGATAGCATCGCAGGCATCGGCTACTGGTATCGGCCCCCGTCTACGGCCAGCCCCTTGATGCGCAGGGCACTGGGATTGCACGTGGGCCGCGATATGGAAAAACCTGAGCATTCGTGTGTCATTGATGTGGTTAGGAAAGGCAGAGTGATGGAACAGGCCTGTGTGGAACACTGAGG